CCTTCAAATATATCTATTAAAGTCTTTATAAATGCCATTGACAATCTGGGAGATTTCTTTGATAGTTTCTTAATAGATATTTATTTACCTATTGTTAAAACACACATGCTGCATGAGGAGACACCCCCCTCCCCCGCCCCGCAACAGGCTTTTTATGAGTAACAGGGCTGTTTATTCACCTTGGTGCAGGCGGGCTGAGGCCAAAAAGGGTGTCAGCAGAGAGCAGTGGGATAGGAGTTGGTTTTATAGGTTCGGGGTGGGCAGTGGAAAGTTACAGTTTAGGGTGGTTTTTTGCAAGCTGGGAGGGGGTCATTGGGTGTGGAGCCCCAAGGTTGACCATGTCAGTTACAAAGTCTAATGGCCTTATCAATTGGGGTGGGAATGACAAACAACAGAGAATGTTTTAAAGTTAAGTAGGCACTGCAGGGGTTGATCATTTTTTTCTCTTTTCATGGTCTTCCAGTTTAGATTTTCCAGGAACTCATCTGGAATGTCCATGCAGGTCACAGAGGTTAACGTGGCATCCATGGGACCATCAGTCAGCCTAAAAGACCTTACATTCCTGTCTTTTTGTATTTGTAATATAAAAGAAAAAGAGATGAAGAGTGGAGGGCAGGAGAATATTAGGAAGGCTAGCACAGATGTTTCTCAGGGCTTAGAATATTAGGAAGGCTAGGGGCAATGTTTCTCAGGGCTTCTTTGAGTGGGATTGGGTGTGGCGTGGAAACCTCAAAATGGGAAAGAGTGTGGCGTGGAAACCTCAAAATGGGAAAGAATTTAGACTGCTGGGAAATTTCGGGGCAAGAGGTGATATTGTGGGTTTGCTAGAAGGAACATTTGTTGTATTGACTGACTGCTTATTGCTTGTATACGATTTTGTAAGAATTGAGAGATGAATTGGAAAACACAGGGTCCAAATAAGAGGAGAAAGATAGTATCAGAGGACTAGGGATTGGAAGAAGCCATGACTTCCAGTTAGAGTGTCCAGCCAGTCCAGCCACGTTGAGTTTATTGATGGCATCTTGTATGAGGCCGGACTGGTTTACATAAGAAAAATTGAAACTGCTGTTTTCTGGCCATTTGGATTGAGGCCAGGCCGTGTTACAGAGATGTTTAAGTTTCAGATCAGGCGACAGTTGAAGAGGTTTTAGGTTTTTGAAGATACAGGCTAGAGGTGAAAACATAAAATAGAGGAATAGAGGGCAGAATATTGCCCATAGCGAAGGAGATAATTTTTTTTTTTTTAAGAGACGGAGTTTTACCATCTTGGTCAGGCTGGTCTCAAACTCCTGACCTCAGGTGATCTGCCTGCCTCAGCCTCCCAGAGTGTTGGGATTACAGGTGTGAGCCACTGTGCCCGGCCTAAGGAGATAAGTTTTAAGGAAAGGTGCAGAGTAGAAACTAGGAGAAGGAGTGAGCAGCTACCAGGATTTTCAGTCGGCGTCCCTGAATGATTTTTGGGCTGTAACATGGGTGAGTGATCAAGGCAGGCATTCCCACAATTGACCAGATACCATGGGGAGAATCTTGTCTTCCCGAGTCCGTGACCAACCTCTGGGTTTTTAAGCGAGAGGGAGAGACTTGTCTCCTCTGGCTCCACACAGATAAAGAGTATCTCTTTATCTCTACTAGAAGAAGAAAGATTTAAAGGAAAAGAGAGAGAAAGAGGGAGAGACTTGTCTTCTTGGGATTTAAAGGAAAAGAGAGAGCTGGGGAGAGATTTGTCTCCTCTAAAGAGAGAGTGGAGAGAGACATCTCTTGTTCTCTAAGGGAAAAGAGAGAGTGGGGAGAGAGTTGTCTCTTGTTCTCTAAAGGAAAAGAGAGAGCAGGGGAGAGACTTGTCTTTCATTCTTGAAAAGAGGGAGAGAGGGGAACAGACTTGTCTCTCATTCTCGAAGAAGAGAGATAGAGAGGGAGAGGCTTGTCTCCCGTTCTCGAAAGGAAAAGAGAGAGGAGGGGAGAGACGTGTCTCCCCTTCTCTAAAGGGAGAGAGAGAAAGAGGGGAAGACTGCTTACCCGATCTGAAGGTGGCGGGAGAGCTGTTCGGCATACTCTGTAGAATTTGTCTCATTTTCTTGGACAGCTAGGATAGGGGAAGAAATTTGGGCTTGGAAAGGAGATACACGATACCCCTTTGAGTATAGATGCTGAAGAAGAAGGATGAATTAAAAGGCCATGTTGCAATAGATGGGCGATAACAGGCTTTAAAGCCTGTTGTGGGATGGGGTACTGGTGCTGGGCAGGGTAAGTGTGGTTAGGCTTTAAGGGGATAACGAGTGGTTAGTGACTCACAGCAGCGGATGAGGAGGTGGTGTCCCACACACTAGGGTTAAGGTAGGGGGACATAAGGAGAGCTATGGAAGGAGGTATGGGTTTGGGGAGGAGGGCGGCAGTGAGGTGTGGCTGTAGCCCAGGAATAGTTAAGGAGGCAGACAATTTTGCTAGGATATCTTGGCCTAACAGGGGAACTGGACAAGTGGGGATGATTAGGAAAGAATGTGAAAAGGAACGCTGGCCTAATTGACACCAGTCTTGGGGAGTTGTGAGAGGCCTGGAGCCTTGCCATCAATTCTCACAACAGTTATGGAGGCCAAGGAGACAGGTCCTTGAAAAGAAGGCAGCGTGGAGTGGGTGGCCCCGAAGTGATTAAGAAAGAGATGAACTTATCCTCCACTGTAAGAGTTACCCGAAGCTTGGGGTCCGTGATGGTCCGGGGGCTTCCAAGATGTTTGGGTAGCATCAATCTTCAGCCACCAAGCTGAGGAGATCTGGGAAGGATTCAGTCCGAAAGCTTTTGGTTGCAGCTTCAGGAGCTCTGGGAGCAGCAATGTGAGTCAGATAGTCCGACTTTCCGCGGGGGCCCCCCTGCACAGACGGGGCAGGGCTTAGGAAGAATCCTGGGCTGGGGAATTCCTTGGCCCAGTGGCCAGGTTTCTGACACTTGGAGCAATGTCTGGGAGGGGTGGCTATAATCCCAGCACTTTGGGAGGCTTAGGTGGGTGGATCACCTGAGGTCAGGAGTTGGAGACCAGCCTGGCCAACATGGCAAAACCCCGTCTCTACTAAAAATACGAAAATTAGCCAGGCATGATGGTGCATGCCTGTAATCCCAGCTACTTGGAAGACTGAGGCAGGAGAATCACTTGAACCTGGGAGGTGTAGGTTGCAATTAACCGAGATTGCACCACTGCACTCCAACCTGGGCAACATAGCAAGACTCCGTCTCAAAAAAAAAAAAAATAGTGCAAATGACTTCAGTAGACAGTTTCCAAAGAAGATTTACAAGATATACAAATGGCCAATAAGCCCATGATAAGATGCTCAACATAGTCATTAGGGAAACACAAATTCAAAAAGCCAAAATGAAATACCACTTTATGCCCACTAAGATAGTGTTATGAACTGAATTATGCTCCCCCCACACTCCGAAAATTCATATGTTGAATCCCTAACTCCTGATGTGACTGTTTTTGGAGATAGGGCATTTAAGGAGGTGATAAGGTTGAATGAGGCTGTAAGGGTAGAGTGTACTGAAGTGCAGCGGCTCAGTCTCAGCTCACTGCAACCTCCGCCTCCCTGGGTTCAAGCAATACTCCTGCTCCAGCCTCCTGAGTAACTGGGATTACAGGCATGTGCCACCATGTCCAGCTAATTTTTGTATTTTTAGTAGAGATGGGGTTTCACCATGTTGGCCAGGCTGGTCTTAAACTCCTGACCTCTGGTGATCCACCTGCCTCGGCCCCCAACGTGCTGGAATTACAGGTGTCAGCCACCACAGCTGGCCTATTGTAGGTTAATATGCTACAAAAATGCTTTGTGCTTTTTTTTTTTAGGGTTTTAAAAATTATAAAAACATATAACATGAAATTTAGCATCTTAACAGTTCTTAAGTATACAACTCAGTAGTGTTCAGTATATTTACATTGTTGTGAAACAGATCTCCAAAACATTTTCATCTTGCAAAACGAGCTTCCATTTCATGTTTGCCACACACAAAAAGATGTGTACCCATGAGTGAGATTTTGTAGAGTTAATTTTTTGGCTTTATCAAGGATATTTTTAAGTTGAAACTGGAATTGTTTTATTTTTTCTAATTGCAAGGGCATAACAATGAAGAATGCAGTTACAAGTAAGTAAAGTTTGGTGCCACCACCTCAATTCACATCAGCAGTTTTATACACCATTGTTTTTGTACCATCAGTAGAAATGTCAACATAATGGAAAGGGCCAACAACATCTTCTTATTATCATGAAAATAATTTTGACTTTGTAGACTTTGTAAAAGGTTCTTAGGAACTTTCCAACAATCCACAGACCACTTTGAGAACCACTGATTTAGAATAATGTTTTAGGAAGATCATTTTGGTGGCAGGATAGAGAAGGGACATTGGAAAGTCAAGGCGACTCAAGTGAAAGAAGAGGAAGGTCTAAATTTGAATAGTGGAGTGCAGATGAGAAGGAAAAGACAGATTTAGGAGATAGATTAAAAGTGGAATTGATTTAGAGAATTGCAGGTTCTGTCTTTTGATGCCTTTAAAAAAAAAAAAGAAAGAAAATTGCAGGGGTATCTTTGAAATAATGAAATTATTGTCTATCATCATGCCAGATTTTGTCCCTCATCTCCATGTATTCAGTTTACATCACTAACCTCAATTATTCAAGATACGTTGAAAATTTCCATAGTACCATAATAATAATAATCTAAATTAATAATGATTTGGAGGAAGAATGAGCTATTTAGTTGTCTGCTTCTACTTAGTGTGTTAGCTTGAGAGTTTATGACCATCCTCTTTATCAGCTTCTGAATTTATATAAACTTGTATTGAACATAAATACCACTATATGCAGATCCGTGTGTCATTAATTTAGGAGAGTTTTAGGGACTACAGTCTTTTCTGCTGCTCAGACCCCCAATAATGAAAAAAAAATAGTACAAATTGGTTCATATACTGGATTCTTAATTTTTCATTTTGAAAGCTTTTTTCCCCTTCCTCAAACAGTACTTCAAATGCTTCACCTTCAGAAGGTGCACCACTAGCAGGAAGTTACGGATGTACTCCTCATTCATTCCCAAAGTTCCAGCATCCTTCTCATGAACTTCTGAAGGAAAATGGCTTTACCCAAGAAGTATACCACAAGTATCGTCGAAGATGCCTAAGTGGTAAGATGCTTGTCCTTTACCTATTTAATACATTTAAAATTAAAATATAATTCTAAAAAATTAAAATTCTGTCATTTAATGTCAGGTTAAGTATTCTTTTATTGTTAGACTATAGTTTCACCTTAACTTAATGTGTTTATATATATTCTTTGTTCATGTACTTTATAACTTAGACACATTAGAAAATAAAAATTAATATACTTGGCTGAGCACAGTGGCTCATACCAGTAATCTCAGCACTTTGGGAGGCCAAGGCAGGCGGATCACTTGAAGTCAGGAGTTTGAGACCAGCTTGGCCAACATAGTGAAACCCTATCTCTACTAAAAATATGAAAATCAGCTGGGCACCTGTAATCCCAGCTACTCAGGAGGCTGAGGCTGGAGAATTGTTGGAATCTGGGAGGCAGAGGTTGCAGTGAGCGGAAACCATGCCATTGCTCTCCAGCCTGGGTTACAGAGCAAGATTCCATCTCAAAAAACAAAAAAAAAAATTTAATATACTTTTCTTGTTACTATTGACAGATATTTATAATTTAAGCAGTGAGTCAGAAAATGGGTTAATATTTGTCAGCTGTTTCAGCAGTCCGCAATCTTTTTGGTACAGGGACCTGTTTCATGGGAGACAATTTTTCTATGAGGAAGTGGGTGATGGTTTTGGATGAAACTGTTCCACCTCAGATCATCAGGCATTAGATTCTCATAAGGAGTGTATAGTCTAGATCCCTAACATGTACAGTTCACAATAGGGTACCAGTCTGTGGCCTGGGAGTTGGGGATTCCCTGCTCTATTTAGAAGAAACTGAAATGCATTTTGAGGATTAATATGGTTGAACTTTCTTCATTTTATGTATAACATCTGCTGTCTTGATTTAGAAAGTATATTTAATAAAATAATATTTTATTTCACTTTTTCAGAGAGAAAACGCTTGGGAATTGGTCAGTCCCAAGAAATGAATACCCTCTTTCGTTTCTGGTCCTTTTTCCTCAGAGATCACTTCAATAAAAAAATGTATGAGGAATTTAGACAACTTGCTTGGGAAGATGCAAAAGAAAATTACAGGTCAGATATTTTCTAATATTTTTACACTTTGCGGGAGTTTTATTTTTTTCTTTTTTCTTTTTTTTTCTTTACCCAGGTAGATCCAATAGAGGGAGTTTTTAGAAAATTCTACTCGTGAACCCAGCAATTAAAAAAAAAAAAAAAGAAAAGAAAAGAAAATATTTTAAAAACGAGTACTGAAGTAACCTGATTTTGAACTGTGAAAGTAGTACAATATAACTGGAGGGAGGGCTGTATTAGTTTTCTATTTCTGCATTGCAAATTACCCCAAAACTCTGTAGGTTAAAACAGTGAACATTTGTTAGTTCATAGCTGGTAAGAGCTGAGTCTCCAGCAATTGTTTAGCTAGGTGATTTTGGCTGATGGTTTCTCATGAGCTTGCAGCCAAGGCGTTGAAGGGGGCTGCAGTCTCTAAAGATGTGGCCTGGGCTGGAGGATCTTCTTCAAGCTCATTCACATGGCTGTTGGCAGGAGGCTTCAGTTCCTTGCCATATTGACCTTCCCTAGGGCATTTTATAATATGGTTTCACCCTGAGTGAGTAGAGCTTCCACAATGGAAGCCTCAAGTGTTTTATACAACCTGCATTTGGAAGTGGCATACTATTATTTCTGCCATATTGTATTGTCGATGCAGACCAGTCCTGGAACAGTATAGAAGGATACTACACAAGGTTGTTAATACCAAGAGATGGGATCATTAGGAACCATCTTAGAGGCTGGCACAAGGGCTGAAGGAAATTACAAGACTTTTCTCTCCCATGTTCCCACCATTACAGACTTCCCTTGGATGGACATATACATACCCCAATTGATATATGCTTAGAGCCAACCCAGTTCTTAAGATTATTTGAGAAAAGAAAAAGCAACGCCTCTCACAATATGTCCCTTGACTCACCTTGTCTAATTTTTTCCCCACTTGTCCTCTAGCACTCTGGGCAACAGTGGCACTGAACTACCCGTTCTTTGAGTGAACCAAGCTCTCCAGCCTCTGGACATCTGTGCATGTTCTTACTTTTGCTTCTACTTCTCTTATTCCTCCCTGTGCTTTTCTAAATCCTCTTCTTTATGTCCCAGCTTAGACCTTGCTTCCTTCAGAAATGTTCAGGGCAAGTCTTGAGAGTGAGTGTAGGCTGAGTGAGGGCAGGCCAAGAGGGTGAAAAGGAACATGGCATGGACTCATAAAGGCAATTTGCTCATGGCGAAAAGGAGAAAGGAACAGGAGACGGAGAGAAGGGAAAAAGATGATTTTTCATCCAATCATATTTACCTAAGTTTACCCTTCTTTAAGTTCTGAAAATGGATTCTTCTTGTAAATCTCAAATATATATTGTTTATCAGATATGATCTTTGAGAAGAATATAAGGTAGTACAAATAAATTTTTTAATTAAAAACACAATTTTATTTGTGTTGACTTATCTAAAAACAAAGCATGTTTAATTTGTATCTGTTATCTAGATCAGGAACAGCAGACACATGTTGTATGTACCTCTATTTCTTTCTCTTCTGTCCATTACTGACATCTCTTATCAATCCCAGTTGTATTTTATGTTCTTTCTTAACTCACTTTTCAGATTTATACTCTTCCTTGTGACTTTCATAGCTACTGCCAGTTTACCAGAGGTGGCATAAAAGACAAAATTTGCCATTCCTAATCTCACTGTTCCTGTTCAGACTGCGGTTTGCCACCTATTCGTCGATCGTAAAATCAATTTAGTGGTTCTAATATGCTTTAGAAAATAGAGTAGAAAATACCAGACTGCACTGAGCATAGTAATTCATACATACAAATTTAATTCATACCCACATACACATGAATTTAAGAATTGTTTTGTAGAACATGTTTTTATAAACATATGTTTTTATATAGAGAGATGTGCATATTGATTTAGTTATCAGGTAAAATATTTTTCATAGTATTGGACCTAGTCAGAAAAGTTTGAAAGCCATTGTTGTAATTGATCTCAGCATATTTTGCTATTTGTACAATTTCTTTCTGTTCCTTAAAGCTTTCTAATAACTTCTCTCATCCCATTCCAACCCAAATCTAGGTTGGGAGTTTCTCTTCTGTGTTCCCATGCACATAACTCTGTGTATGTTTCTAATACTTTTGTAACACAGTTTCCTACGTTTGGTTCTGTTTCTGCAGTATTTACCACTAGACCGTATTAGCTGGTTCTTAGGAAGTAGTGGTTAAGCACCTGAAGTCTTTGAAATCAGACCTGTGTTTGAGTCTCAGCTATTAATTTACTGTGACCTTGGCAGATTATAATCCCAACAGACTCATGGTGGTTCATACCTGTAATCCCTGCACTTTGGGAGGCTGAGGCAGGCAGATCACTTGAGGCCAGAAGTTTGAGACCAACATGGCAAAACCCTATCTCTTCTAAAAATACAAAAATTAGCTGGGTGTGGTGGCCTGCACTTATAGCTGCTTGGGCGGCTGAAACATGAGAATTGCTTGAGCCTGGGAGGAAGAGGTTGCAGTGAGCCAAGATTACATCACTGCACTTCAGCCTGGGTGACAAAGCAAGACTTTTGTCTCAAGTAAAAAAGTTAAGTTAGGATACTCTTTCATGGGGTTATTGTGAAGATTACACAAAGTGTGTAAAGAGCTTAACACATTAACTTATGTGTAGCAAGTGCTTGATAGATGATTCTTTCCTTTTTTTGAGACAGAGTCTCGCTCTTTTGCATAGGCTGGAATGTAGGCACCCACCACCACACCCAGCTAATTTTTGTATTTTTAGTAGAGATGGGGTTTCATGATACTGGCCAAGCTGGTCTTGAACTACTGACTTCAAGTGATCAACCCGCGTTGGCCTCCCAAAGTGCCAGGATTATAGGCGTGAGCCACTGTGGCCAGCCAGATGATTATTGTTATCAGGAAGATAGTTACTAATTATATCCATTGGTTGAAGGTAATAATAATATGATTTCAGGAGGGAGGGAGAGAGCTAACATTTTTTACATCTCTTCAATGTGCTAGTTCTCGTCTAGAAGCTTTACAAATTATTTATTTTTGAAAACTAGGATCCAATTGACTCCAGTTTCAGTGATATAGTTACAAGCCTAAGATTCAAATATAGTTCTTTCTAGTTCTAAACCTAAGCCTCTAGGTCTTCTACTCCTCTGAGCTGTCTTGCAGTGAGTAGTAAATGAGTACATGACAACTGAGAGGGCTGGTCATTTGCCTCGGTCCTTCACTCCAGCAGTTATGCTGCATATTTGGGTTATGTTATTAATGTCATACTTTTGTCTTTGGAATAGTTTGCTAAGAAATAATAGTAAAAATCCAAATATTGCCTATACAGTATAAATGTTGTATTATTATCCTTTATAAATAATCTAAGAATTTCTGTGTTCCTCTAAAAAACCATTTACTTGACAAAAACAAAAAACTTCTTTCTTCAGAAATAAAGAAAGCTACCTAGGCTTCACCTCAAAGATTCTGATTTTGGGTCCCAAAAAAAATAGTCGGGGCTGGACACAATGGCTCAAGCCTGTAATCACAGCACTTTGGGAGGCCGAGGCGGGCAGATCACGAGGTTAAGAGATCGAGACTATCCTGCCAACATGGTGAAACCCTGTCTCTACTAAAAAATACAAAAATTAGCTGAGCATGATGGTGCACACCTGTAGTCCCACCTACTCAGGAGGCTGAGGCAGGAGAATCGCTTCAACCCGGGAGGCAGAGTTTGCAGTGAGCTGAGATCGTACCACTGCACTCCATCCTGGCGACCGAGCATGACTCTGCCTCAAAAAAAAAAAAAAAAAAAAAAAAGAACAGTTGGAAACAATAAATAAGACCTATTATTTGATAGCACCTTAGGGTGACTATAAATAATAGTGGCTTAACTGTACATTTAAAAATGGCTTAAAGAGGCCAGGCGTGGTGGCTCATGCCTGTAATCCCAGCACTTTGGGAGGCTGAAGTGGGTGGATCACCTGACATCAGAAGTTCAAGATCAGCCAGGCCAACATGGTAAAAACCCTGTCTCTACCAAAAATACAAAAATTAGCCAGGCATGGTGGAGGGCACCTATAATCCCAGCTACTTGGGAGGCTGAGGTAGGAGAATTGCTTGAACCTGGGAGGAGGAGGTTGCGGTGAGCCAAGATTGTGCCACTGCACTCCAGCCTGGGCAACAAGAGCAAAACTCCATCTCCAAAAAAAAAAAAAAAAAAAAATTAAAAATAAATAAAATGGCTTAAAGAGTGTAATTGGAGGCTGGGCTCTGTGCTCATGACTGTAATCCCAGCACTTTGGGAGGCTGAGGTCAGGAGTTCAAGATCAGCCTGACCAACATGGAGAAACCCCATCTCTATTAAAAATGCAAAATTGGCTGGGCATGGTGCATGCCTGTGGTCCCAGCTGCTTGGGTGGCTGAGGCAGAAGAATTGCTTGAACCCAGGAGGTGGAAGTTGCAGTGAGCCAAGATCACACCATTGCACTCCAGCCTGGGCAACAACGGCAAAACTCTGTCTCAAAAAAAAAGCAAAAGAGTGTAATTGGATTGTTTGTAACTCAAAGGATAAATGCTTGAGGGGATAGATACTCCATTCCCCAGGATGTGTTTATCTCACCTTGCATGCCTGTATCAAAACATGTCATGTGCCCCATAAGTACAGGTGTCTCCTGTATACCCACAAAAAATTTTAAAATTAAAAAATAAAAAAAAGAGCTTGATGCCATTGGTTTGGAGCAGAGCTCGGGCATTAATATTTTTTAAAAGCTCCCCAGATGATTATAATATGTAGCTAAGATTGAGAACAACTGATGTCGGCATAATATGATCCCATAAGAGGAGCATCAGAGCAAGTTTGTCATTCTGAACAGTGGTTCTTTTAGTCTTTAATATCCTTAGACTTCAGTCATGCAGTCTCAACCAGTAGCATCACTTAAGGCTTTGGGCGCCAACGGCTCAGGTTAGTGTTTCAGTGTATAGTTGGCAGTCCTGCATTTTTCTTGGTGGTTTGCCAGACAATCACTCTTCGTCTTGTAAATAAGCCGGTTACAAAAGAGACACACACGCACATACCCTGCTTCCTGTGACCAACAGCCAGTTAATATTATGTTACCAGAATGAAAAGGTTGTAACCTTTCTGCTGCGGTACCCAGAATGACTTAGTATTCTAACTGAGGAGTATTTTAATTGTGGTATCTTTTCGTTGAGTCAGCTAGACAACGTCCTTTTGCTGCCATCTTCTAGCCCTGTTTCACTGTCATGGGTTCTGCTCATTACCTGTGTTTGAAGGGTGAGCCTATATAGTTTGTTGATCCACTGAGCAGAACTGCTAGGTTCTCTAGGTAGTCACAGACAGAAACAAGGACCTTTGTTTTCTCGTTTATGTAGTGATCATAGCTCTATTAGCAGTATATCTTCTATTGTACTTTATAATGAAAGCAGGGAGGCTCTCTTAACCATTTAATTATGTTTGTACTATTATAGTTGAAAGAGACAACCACACCTAGGATCTAGGGCACAGCAGTATGGTCTTTATCTTCCTGAAGTAAAGCTTACATTCAAGAGTATATATTTAATACTGTGTACAGACACACCATTATAAATTTTGGTTTGGGAAAAATCTAACACATTCCCAATTTGTCACTAAATCTTTTGGCCAGTTCTTCAGAAATACAAGGGAGAGATACTGTGTGCATCTCAGTATACCTTCATGATGTGCTATGGCTGAGTCATCAAAAATAGCAAAGCCAGCTATGGATTACTAATTGCCAGTTCAGTTAAAAATTTGCATACCGGCTGGGGGCAGTGGCTCACGCCTATAATCCCAGCACTTTGGTAGCCTGAGGTGGGTGGATCACTTGAGCTCAAGAGTTCGAAACCAGCCTGGCTTTTTAGTCAATCTATGGGATTTTTAGAAAGCATAGTTTTTTCAATTTTTCTATTTAGAATATGAATAGATTTTAGGGTAATCTAGTCCAACTCTTCAAAAGCCTTAGAGCTAGTTAGCAATGGAGCAGGTCTAGAAACCCTGGTGTCCTGATTTCCAGGACAGGACTGTTTCTGTTCCAGAGCAGTGCTTTGGGGTCTGAGAGATTCTTTAGTCTTTGTTTTTTAACAGACTTCCATAACCTATTTATTAATCAAATGTTCTTTCTGTTTTGCTACCAGATATCAAAACAGAATTGTGTCCCCTTCTATCATTAATTTAATTTGTATAACCTTGAGGAAGCCACTTATTTTCTGTTAGTACAATTTTCATCATCTGCAAAATGAAGAACATAGTAATTATCTCTCACTGTTCTGAAAACTAATAATAAGGTATTTACAGTGTTAAGCATAGTGCCTGGCATGAAGAAAGCTCAATACATTCTTCATACTGTTGCTAGTATAAGTATCTTTGGCAGAAAATGTTTTCTATGATGTTTTTATGTAAATAAAGAAGAGCTGCTATGATGCCTCCTCATTCAATCATTGCATCAGAGTTACTCTAACAGCTCTAGACATGGGGCTGGAAGCATACTTACTTGTTTGGCCCCATGATCTTAAAATGTTCAGATGTGTGAGTTTGAAGGTTGTTCTGTTCCTCTCAGTTATGAGTTTTCTGTGACCTTCCTTAGCAACCAGTTCCTCAATTCTTTGATCTTGTTTTATTTTCTACCCACAGACATTTACCTGTTTAATAAAGACAAGTCTGCTCTCAGAGCAGGGTACGTTTTGTTGCCTTTCTATCCATTAACCACCTCCCCACAGCTCTACTCTGCTATTTTGAGTGTGCTGGCCAACATGGTGAAACCCCATCTCTACTAAAAATACAAAAATTAGCCTGACCAACATGGTGAAATCCTGTCTCTACTAAAAGTGGGCACCTATAATCCTAGTTACTTGGGAGGCTGAGGCAGGAGAACAGCTTGAACAAGGGAGGCGGAGGTTGCAGTGAGCCGAGGTTGTGCCATTGCACTCCAGCCTGGGCAACAAGAACTAGATTCCATCTCAAAGGAAAGTCTATCTCAAAAAAGCAAAAAAATCTGAACACTAAAATTTGATTTTTCATTTAGAATTGTTTGCTTATATTGATGTTACTAACTACAGAGAGGTTGTATTTTATTATAAACCTTTTATCTTTATAGGTATGGGTTAGAATGTCTGTTCAGGTTTTACAGCTATGGACTGGAAAAAAAATTCAGACGAGAAATTTTTAAGGATTTCCAAGAAGAAACCAAAAAAGACTACGAATCTGGTAATAATAACAACAAAAAACTTACCCTATTTGGAAATTGTAAACCTGAGTCTGTCAGTAAATAGGGAGGTAGTTCATAGTTTGTTCCTTCAGGGCAAACCATTTAAGACCTTCATGCCATTATTATGTTTCTTGATGAAGGATGGGGTACCATGTAGTAAGAAGGCCCTTCCTATGAGGTGTTGGAAAGTTAACTACTCTCAAGTCTTTCTTGTATGGAGGTATATTTTGTCATTATCCCTTTGACAAACATAGCTACTCACTGATGTTCCATTACATGAAAATTCTGTGCAACATCAGCGGGTAAGCTCAGAAAGGCAGAAACAGCCCAGTGCTTAAGAGTGCAGGCTCTAGAGGTCCAAATCCCCTTTCCATTATTTAGAAGCTATGTGACTATGGGTAACTTGCTAGCCTGTTTTCTCCTGTGTAACATATACGAGAACACCCATCTTTTGGCTTGTATATAGTTCAAATTAGTTTGATGCATAATAAAGCACTTAATACTTGTTACGTAGCAAATGCTCAATAAATGTTAGCTGCCATTATTGTTAATTCATTACATGTCTTATTCTCCAGATACAGAGTAAGTATATATTGGAAGATAAATGATTTATTGCTGATAGGATTATATTTAATGTGAATCACTTAAAATTTTTTGCATAATTTATAATGTATATTTTTCTTTGTTATTAGGTCAGCTGTATGGACTAGAAAAATTTTGGGCTTATTTGAAATATTCTCAGTCTAAGACACAGTCCATTGACCCAAAACTTCAGGAATACCTCTGTAGTTTTAAGAGGTTAGAAGACTTCCGTGTTGATGTAAGTTTTAAGTCATTTCCTCTATTATTTTTATTATCCATATATTTCAATCTCTTATCTGTGACTTTTTAAACTTTAATTTGGTTATTTTTATTTTTTAACTTTTTAATTTTGAAATTAAACTTTGAAATAGGTATACAAATAGTTCAGAGAATTCCCGTAGACTCTCTTCACTAGATTTCCCAACTGTTAACATCTTATATAACCACAGTGCAATTGTTAATTTAATTTTCCTATGCTGCTATAATTAAACTTTTTTAGATTTATTAATTTTTATCTGATATGCTAATTTGTCACTAGCAATGTGAAAACTTTTTACTTTTTAATGATCTTTTATCCATATAATTTCTGTAACATGTGCTGATACAGATTTAGGGTTCTTGCATAATAAAATTAAGGAGAAAATGTTGTGTGCGTGTGTGCAAGCACGAGAGTGGTATCTTTTAGTTGGATCAACTGGACAAGGCCCTTTTGCTGCCATCTTATGACATTGTCCACTCTCATGGGTTCTTCTCATCACCTTTGCTTGAAGGTTGAACCTATATATACAGGCTTTATCAATTTAATTTCAAGAGAAAAGGAAAGCATTAAAAGTCATGACTGTAAGAGGAGAAAAGAGGAAGAAGAGAAATTTAAAAAAAATAAGGGGAAAAGGCTGGACATGGTGGCGCATACCTGTAATTCCAGCACTTTGGGAGGCCGAGGTGGGTGGATCATGTGAGGCCAGGAGTTCAAGACCAGCCTGGTCAACATGGCAAAGCCCTGTCTCTACTAAAAATACAAAAATTTGCTGGGTGTGATGGTGCACATCTGTAATCCCAGGTACTGGGGAGGCTGCAGCACAAGAACTGCTTGAACCTGGGAGGCAGAGGTTGCAGTGAGCTCAGATTGTGCCACTGCACTCTAGCCTAGGCAACAGAATGAGACTGTCTCAAAAAAAAAAAAAAATAAATAAATAATGGAAGAAGAAAAATTTTAACTTACAAAACAGAGGTAAAAGGAAGGCTAGGTTTATCTCTGCTTTGTGTTGCAAATGGACTTAATGACCCAGGGATAGAGTTAATAGAAGTGCCTATCTTTGGACTTAAGAGCCATTTTTCTAAGGTGGCCTAGCCAATTCTGTCACAAAGACATCCCTGCTCTATATTTGAGACTCTTTCCCCATATGAACATAAGCTAAGAATTCAGGCCTCTTCCTTTAAGTACAATGGAAGGTTGGAAGAGGAGGTTACTATCTTAATTTAGCTCAAAATAAAATACTAGTTCATTGGTGTCCAGTTCTGGCCTCCCAAACCTAAAGAGCTGACTTTTTTTTTTTTTTTTTTTTTTTGAATGCAGGATGCCTTTTCTTGGGTACTTAAATGTTTGATGATGTTTAAATTTGGTACCATCAATAATAATCTCCAGTCTCCGTATCACAGGAATTCTAGATAAACCTTCAAACTTGCTAACGATAATTTGACTTGGCATCTCTTTTATTCCCCTACTGCTTTCATTTATCTGTTATTTAAACATTTTCACTTAAGCAAGCCTGGAATAGGAGTTTAGGGTTGAGAAAGAGACTGGAGTTACAAATCCTTCACAGTTGACAAAATCGAATAAAGAAGGCAAATAGCCTCACTGAAACATTTTATTGGAGGCAAGGAACCCAGCCTTATACTTATGCCCTATCATGTAGCTCAGGCCCTACAACAGGAGAGAAGCTTAATATACATATGTTGAGGCTGATCGCGATGACTCACGCCTGTAATCCCAGCACTTTGAGGCTGAGGCAAGTGGATTACCTGAGCTCAGGAGTTCTAGACCACTCAGGGCAACATGATGAAACCCCCATCTCTACTAAAAAAAAAAAATATTTAGGCCGGGCGCGGTGGCTCAAGCCTGTAATCCCAGCACTTTGGGAGGCCGAGGCAGGTGGATCACGAGGTCAAGAGATCGAGACCATCCTGGTCAACATGGTGAAACCCCGTCTCTACTAAAAATACAAAAAATTAGCTGGGCATGGTGGCGCATGCCTGTGATCCCAGCTACTCAGGAGGCTGAGGCAGGAGAATTGCCTAAACCCAGGAGGTGGAGGTTGCGGTGAGCCGAGATCGTGCCATTGCACTCCAGCCTGGGCAACAAGAGCGAAACTCCGTCTCAAAAAAAAAAACTTAAAAAAAAAAAAAAAAGTATTTAAAAAATTAACTGGGTGTGGTGGCCTGCCCTTAATCCCAGCTACATGAGAGGCTGGGGCAGGAGAATCTCTTGAGCCCCAGAGGCGAAGGGTGCAGTGAGCTGAGATTGCATCACTGCACTCCAGCTTGGGCTACAAAAAGTTGAGTAAAAGAATGAGCAAATGCCGGTAGTCTGATTTAATTAGGAAGGAAATTTAAGTTTAGTACCTTAAGTTGCTGTTAAGTTTAAGTTTTTGTTATACTAATAAAATCTACTGAAGTGTCCATTTAACTTACTTTTTTTTTTTTTGGAAAAGTCTAGCCTTAGGTTTTGAAGGGAGGAAAAAGAGTAAAATTGTCAACTCTGTTGTCTTTTATCGTTTGCAGCCCCCTATTAGTGAGGAATTTGGAAGAAAAAGGCATTCATCTACTGGTGAGGATAGTAATCATCACAGACTTTCACCTAATTCCTCTACAAAGCCACCAAATGCTGCTAAATCTACATCTGCCAATCAGCTTCAGGTTCCAATAAACTCTCCAGGAAGGAATACTTCACCAGAGTTCAGTGACAATTCACAGTAACACGGTGCTGCCTGTGGTCTCAACAAATGGTGAAATGCCTGAGAAACAGACTCTTATGAACGTCGTTTGTCCTTGAAGTCAACATTTACATCAGTATTTATTTGGGGAAAATCTTGTGATGTTTAATTGTGATAATCAGAAAGAAGAAAAAGGAAGAAAAGTGGTAGCATTTTTTTCTAACAAGATAAATTCTAAAAATGTTTTCCCTGGTTTCACAAACAAGGATAGTCTTGGTCACCTTTTATAGAGATCCTCCAGTAATGTATTTGATCTCAGATTTCTTTTTCAAAGCCATTGTTTTACAAAAACAGCATTCCTTAAATATATTTTAAAAACAATACAAGGAATGCCTAAAATTTCAGCTCATACTTCTTAAAGAAGATATAGTTAGTATGTTGTATTCTTCTCTTCTATAGAGCTTTCTTAAAGAATCCAATTACCCCACTGTCAATTCATTTTGAACTTACCAAAAACAAAGGAAGATTACGTATATATATTTTTAAATTCAAAAAAGAATATGAAATGATACATTTACTTTTCCTTTGAGACGCATAGTTTAAAGAACACTTTTTTTTTTAAACAAACGTAGAAATATATAGCAAGATTGTAGTCACAGTGAGTATACGCACTTCTGATGCTACGTTTTGCTTTTCTCCCCCCGTCATATCTCATGATTTACACAGTTGTGTTGGTGTGTAGTTTTCTCAGTTGGCATAAGCTGATTACATATTAGAAGTTTATTTTTATGATTCTATGTAAACATGCACAAGTAATTTAAAACCCACGTTGAGATTGGTTGGAATATTGTCCTAAATTAATTAAATCTTTCACTGTTTTGAATGCATCTGCTATTTATTATTTCTGCAAGTGGGTCTGTCATAAGCAGTCAGATTATCTTTTATTTAAAATGACTACTTAGTTTTTCCTTTTTATTTTTTAATTTTGGTTTTATAAATGTTTTTGAGAGTTATAGCAAATTAATTTCTAATTTTTCATTGCTATTACAACTGATGTAAATGATAGTTTCAGTTTTTGTGAGATTTAAAAAATAAAGCACTTATTCTGAGTTTTTTGAATTTATTTTTAATTATTTTTATTTAGAACATAGTTGAAAAGCTGTAATATTCAGATTTTGCTAGTGAAAGACCTTTTTTTGTGAATGAAGTTTCAGTTATAAACTTACATCCACTTTTATTGAGCACTACATGATTTACAAATATTTTTATTATATTGGCAAAAACAAGTGGTTTCAATACACTAAATTAATTTGTATTTTCTTTTTGAGCAGATTGGATGTCTTATAAATTATAACATTGAAATACATGTAATCTTCTTTGGATGGATGGGCTGTTAATTTGTAAATAGGTTTTCAAGTTATTTCTCATGATAAGTAATAATCTGCAGTTTTATAATATTTACTATTTGGAGGGTCATTTGATGCTTTAAATTGGGGAAATAGTGTCAAATTTGAATATTCAGAAAATAAATTTATTTAGAGATACTGTAAAGAGGGTGCAAAACAAGCAGTGGGTTAGAATAATAAAACTTCAAGTCTTTTCTTAAATGGGGTGTGTAGTTCCAGCTTTTCAGTGAGAAATTTCCAAACCATGCTTATTAGCTTTAAATGATTTCTTGAAATAATCTATAAATTTTTCTCAGTATCCTTTTTGTGTTGAAAACATACCTCTGAAACCTGTATTTAACCAGATTATTTCTACTCAACTGAGTATACAAGTGTAAATTTGATTGGAAAATTGTATATTATAAATGAAAATATAATAATCAAGTGTTTTGTGGTTTGTATTAGTAGTTTTATCATATTTTTATTATAAAAGTAATAAATGTACATTGGGAAATTTAGAAAAGCACAAATAAGAAAATAAAGTACATGTTATTAAAAAAAAGAAAAACCAAAATTGGCATCAGGCTACATATAGTGTTATAACCTGCTTTTTTCACTTAGTGGAGTTGAACATTTTCTGATGTCATTAATATTTCTCATTACTTTTTTTTTAAATTTCTACAGTTTTTTAATTGTAGAGATGGGGTTTCACCATGTTGGCCAGGCTGATCTCAAACTCCTGCTTCTAAAGTGATCCACCTCCCTCAGCCTCCTTGGATTACAGGCATGAGCCAGCATGCCCTGCCAGTGATGTCATTAATATTTCTATTTCTTGACTTTTGCTAGCTACATAGTATTATGTGAATATACCAGAGTTTACTTAGCTAATTGCTGACATTTAACTTTGATTGTGGCTAGGTTTTGGCTGTTACAAGCAACAATTAATAGGCTGGGTGTGGTAGCTCAAGCCTGTAATCCCAGCACTTTGGGAGGCAGAGGCAGGTGGATCACTTAATGTCAGGAGTTCGAGACCAGCCTGGCCAACATGATAAAACCCCATCTCTACTAAAAATACAAAAAACTAGCCAGGCGTGGTGGCAGGCGCTTGTAATCGAAGCTACTCGGGAGGCTGAGGCAGGAGAATTGCTTGAACCCAGGAGGCAGAGGTTGCAGTGAGTCGAGATCTTACCACTGCACTCCAGCCTGGGTGACAGAGTGAGAAAACAACAATTAATAGTATCCTTACAGATAAATTTTTGTGTATAAACTTGGAGTTACTGTCAAGAACTCCTAGAAATTGGAATTCTAAGTAAAAATATGTCTCCATTAAAGGCCCTCTAGGAAGGGTGCACTGATAATTTAAAAAATTATTTAAAACTCTTTTTTTTTTTGAGACCGAGTTGTTCTCTTGGCGCCCAGGCTGGAGTGCAATGACATGATCTTCGCTCAGTGCAGCCTCCACCTCCTGGGTTCAAGCCATTCTCCTGCCTCGGCCTCCTGAGTAGCTGGGTCTACAAGTGTGTGCCACTATTCCCAGTAATTTTGTACTTTTAGTAGAGATGGGGTTTCACCATGTTGACCAGTCTGGTCTTAAACTCCTTATCTCAGGTGATCTGCCTGCCTTGGCCTCCTGCGGCGCCAGATTACAGGCATGAGCCACCGCTCCTGGCCACTAAATCTCATTAATGTCATCATTTTAATCAGGTCACTAATGAACGATAATTTTTATTGCTTATTAATCATATTGTTTGTAGATTGCTTGAAAATATCCCTTATGTTGATGCAAAGCTGGTTTAACATATGCAAATCTATAAACATATTCCATCACATAAACAGAACCAAAGACAAAAACCACATGATTATCTCAATGGATGCACAGAAAGCCTTGGACAAAATCCAACAGCCCCTTATGCTAAAAACTCTCAATAAACTGGGTATCAATGGAATGTACCTCAAAACAATAAAATCTATTTATGACAAACTGAATGGGCAAAAAACTGGAAGCATTCCCTTCAAAAACTGGCACAAGACAAGGGTGCCCTGTCTCACCACTCCTATTCAACATAGTATTGGAAGTTCTGGCTAGAGTAATCAGGCAAGAAAAAGAAATAAAGAGTATTCAATTAGGAAAAGACAAAGTCAAATTGTCTCTGTTTGCAGACGACATGATTGTGTATTTAGAAGACCCCATGGTCTCAGTCCAAAATCTCCTTAAGCTGATAAGCAACTTCAGCAAAGCCTCAGGATACAAAATCAATGTGCAAAAACTACAAGCATTCCTATACACCAAAAACAGACAGAGAGCCAAATCATGAGTGAACTCCTATTCACAATTGCTACAAAGGGAATAAAATACTGGACTGGGCACAGTGGCTCATGCCTGTAATCCCAGCACTTTGGGAGGCTGAGGTGGGCAAATCACAACATCAGGAGTTCAAGACCACCCTGGCTAACATGATGAAACCCCATCTCTAAAACAACAAAAATAAAAAAATACCTAGGAATACAACTAACAAGGGATACGAAGAACCTCTTCAAGGAGAACTACAAACCACTGCTCAAGGAAATAAGAGAGGGCATAAACAGATGGAAAAACATTCCATGCTCATGGTTAGGAAGAATCAATATTGTGAAAATGGCCATAGTGTACAAAGTAATTTATAGATTCAATGCTATCCCCATCAGGCTACTATTGACCTTCTTCACAGAACTGGAAAAAACCACCTTAAACTTCATATGGAACCAAAAAAGAGCCTGCACAGCCAAGGCAACCCTAAGCAAAAAGAACAAAGCTGGAGGCATCACACTACCTGACTTCAAACTATACTACAAGGCTACAGTAATCAAAACGGCATGGTAATGGTACCAAAACAGAGATATAGACCAAGGGAACAGAATAGAGACCTCGGAAGTAATGCCACACATCTACAATCATCTGATCTTTGAAAAACCTGACAAAAGGAATGGGGAAAGGATTCCCTACTGAATAAATGGTGTTGGGAAAACTGGCTAGCCATCTGCAGAAACCTGAAACTGGACCCTTTCCTTACATCTTATACAAAAATTAACTCCGATGGATTAAAGCTTTAAATATAAGACCTAACAACATAAAAATGCTAGAAGAGTGGGTGCAGTGGCTCACACCTGTAATCCCAGCACTTTGGGAGGCCAAGGCAGGCAAATCGCAAGGACAGGAGTTTGAGACCAGCCTGGTCAACATAGTGAAACCCTGTCTCTGCTAAAAATACAAAAATTAGCTGGGCATGGTGGGACATTCCTGTAATACCAGCTACTCAGGAGGCTGAGGCAGGAGAATTGCATAAATGGGACCTGGGAGGTGGAGGTTGCAGTGAGCCAAGGTGGTGCCACTGCACTCCAGTCTGGGCTACAGAGTGAGACTCCAACTCAAAACAACAACAACAACAACAACCAACCCTAGATGAACACCTAGGCAATACCATTCAGGACATAGGCATAGGCAAGGACTTCATGATTTAAAAAAAACACCAAAAGCAATGGCAACAAAAGCCAAAATAGACAAATGGGATCTAATTAATCTTAAGAGCTTATGCACAGCAAAAGAAGCCATCATTAAAGACCAAAAAAAATAAAAAAAATAAAGGAAAGAAAAATAAAGAAAAAAGAGAAAAACAAAAAACAAAAACAAGAAACTATCATTAGAGTGAACCAACAACCAACAGAATGGGAACAAATTTTTGCAACCTACCCATCTGAAAAAGGGTTAATATCCAGAACCTATAAATAACTTATACCAATTTATAAGAAAAAACAACCCCATCAAAAAGTGGGCAAAGGATATGAACAGACATTTTTCTCTTTTTTTTTCCTTTTTTCCTTTTCTTTCTTTTTTTCTGTATATACTGTGTCCAGTTTCAGCTGTAGAACAGACGCTTTTCAAAAGAAGACATTTATATAGCCAACAAACATATGAAAAAAAGGTCATCATCACTAGTCATTAGAGAAATGCAAATCAAAACCGCATTGAGTTACCATCTCATGCCAGTGAGGATGGCGATCATTAAAAAATCAGGGCCGGGCGCGGTGGCTCAAGCCTGTAATCCCAGCACTTTGGGAGGCCGAGGCGGGTGGATCACAAGGTCGAGAGATCGAGACCATCCTGGTCAACATGGTGAAACCCCATCTCTACTAAAAATACAAAAAACTAGCTGGGCATGGTGGCGCGTGCCTGTAGTCCCAGCTACTCAGGAGGCTGAGGCAGGAGAATTGCCTGAGCCCAGGAGGCGGAGGTTGCGGTGAGCCGAGATCGCGCCATTGCACTCCAGCCTGGGTAACAAGAGTGAAACTCCATCTCCCAAAAAAAAAAAAAAAAAAAAAAAAATCAGGAGACAACAGAAGCTGGAGAGGATGTGGAGAAATAGCAATACTTTTACACTGTTGGTTGTAGAGTAAATTAGTTCAACCATTGTGGAAGACAGTGTGGCGATTCCTCAAGGATCTGGAAATAGAATACCATTTGACACAGCAATCCCATTATTGGGTATATACCCAAAGGATTATAAATCGCTCTACTATAAAGATATATGCAAACGTATGTTCATTGTGGCACTGTTTACAATTGCAAAGACTTGGAACCAACCCAAATGCCCATCAATGATAGACTGGATAAAGAAAATGTAGCACATATACACCATGGAATACTATGCAGGCATAAAATAAGATGAGTTCATGTCCTTTGCAGGGACATAGATGAAGCTGGAAACCATCATTCTTAGCAAACTGACTCAAGAACAGAAAACCAAACACCTCATGTTCTCACTCATAAGTGGGTGTTGAACAGTGAGAACAGATGGACACAGGGAGGGGAACATCACACACTGGGGCCTGTTAGGGGCCAGCAGTGAGGGTAAGGGAGAGATAGCAGGGGGTGGGGGAATTGGGGAGGGATAGCATTAGGAGAAATACCTAAAGTAGATGACGAGGGGATGGGGGATGGATGCAGCAAACCCCCATGGCATCTGTACACCTATGTAACAATCCTGCAGGATCTGCACATGTACCCCAGAACTTAGAATATAATTAAAAAAAAAAATTAAGAAAAAAAATATATTCCTTATGTTTTCCTTTTGGAGTGGTTATCTCTTGCTCATAAATTTATAGAGCCCTTTTACTTATCAAGAATATTAACTCTTTGCTTACTAATTTTGCTTATGTATGTTTGACATGGTATGTATTTTTTGGGGGTAAAATTTTTTTTTTGAGACAGAGTCTCTATCTGTCACCCAGGCTGGAGTGCAGTGGTACAATCGCAGCTCACTACAACCTCTGCCTCCTGGGTTCAAGTGATTCTTCTGCCTCAGCCTCCCCAGTAGCTGGGATTACAGGCATGTGCCACTACACCCAGCTAATTTTTATATTTTTAGTAAGACGGGGTTTCGCCATGTTGACCTGGCTGGTCTTG